CTGTCTAGGAGATTCGGGTCCCGCCCACACTCCGCTGTCTAGGAGATTTGGGCCCCGCCTACACTCCGCTGCTAACATGCATACAAGTATCACACAGACAACAAGTATATCTATTCCTATCAAGCAGTCACATATCTATACTCAAATAATACTACGAGATTCGGGCCCCACCCACACTCGACTACTATGAGATTCGGGCCCCGCCCACACTCAGCTAATAACATATCACATATACGGGTCGTCCTTGGTGCCGTAGACCCGTTCCTACTAAAGGAAACTTACCTCGCAAAGCTGACTGCTGAAATCTCGAGTGAGGAATCTCCGACGGCTGCTCCAACAACTCATCGGCTATTTATATCACGATAACACTTAGTCAAAACCTAATAATTCTCCTTAGGGTAAAATGACCATTTTACCCCTGGCCAAAGTCAACGCTTTGGTCAAAGTCAACTTTCTGGTTGACCCAACTCGTCGAGTTGCTCCATAAACTCGTCGAGTCCTAGAATCCTGAATCGCGATCTAACTCGTCGAGTCTCCCCCTGACTTGCCAAGTTCCCAGGCTACTCATAGTCGCGATTTATCGAATCAACCCGTCGAGTTCCTTCACCGACTCGTCGAGTTCTACCTTAAGCTAAAACGGGACAACACAATCCAACTCGTCGAGTTCCCTTATGGACTCGACGAGTTCCTATGTCTGTTTGGCCATCTTAACAGATTAAGCCTCTACTCTCTAAATCCAAGGTCCATACTTCCTCTACACACTGTAAATGCCCCTTTAAGAGTAAAGTTTCCAACTTTACCCGCTAATAATCCTCCTTAATGGGTTTAGTTATAACCCTAGTTGATTAAGACATAGATCTTTGTCCACAAGCCTTATTACTCCAACCCAAAGCATGAAAATCAAGATCTAGGCCCTAGACACCCAATGAACACGTAAAGTCTCGGACTTTACTTCCATGCATGGCCTTTTAGGGCTTAAAAGGCCATAATAACATCCTTAAGGCTTGTATGGGGCTCCAATGGCATAAAGTTTGCACCTTTATGCCTTAACAACCCTTAATGGTTCCAGATCTGGAAGGTAAGCCACTTGGGACGTCCATGTCCCAAAGATCTAGATTATTAAACCAAAACTCTCATAAAATGGAACTAAAGAGATCTAATGAACAAATAGTCAAGCTAGAGACTTGATTACCAGAAAGTGATGAGCATGGAAGGAAATCTCTGGATCGACTATCTTCTCCTTGAACCTTTTAGCTCCTTCTTCTTCTTCTAGCTTCAAGAACACATAAAATCACTCAGGAATGGCTCACACACTCACAAAATGCTCTAGGTTTTCGAGGATTAGGGTTTGGGACTTGGAGGCTGGAAATGAGTCCAAAAGGTGGGGATTAAGATGCTTAAATAGGATGCAAAACCCTGAAATTAGGGTTTCACTCTGGCAGACCTACTTGCCGAGTCGAGGGCTCTCGACTCGTCGAATAGATAGCTGAAAACCCGCGTCCAAGAATCGTTTCTACTCGACGAGTCTGGGGCTTCCAACTTGTCGAGTAGCTCTATTAAAATGAATAATTTATAAATAAAAGCGTACCAGAAACCAGGCGTTACAACCATACTCACAAGAATGTCTTCAAAACTTAGCCAAACTTTAGATCCAACAAACACAACCCTCAAGGGACCTTAAGGACCCATAAAGTTGCCAACTTTATGGAATCATTCCATCCAAACTTCCACAGGATGAAGAAAAAGGGAGAAAAAGCCTATATCTAGAAGCTATAAACATAAAGTTTGGATCTTGAACACTTACAATGGTCCAGAATTGGCTCAAATACAAACTCCAAGCTTGCGAAGAGGTTCTCTACACCACAAGGGTCTTCTTCTTCCTTCCAAGAGCTCTAAAACACCAAGGGATGAGCTCACAAATGAAGATGAGTTTATTAAGGTTTGCTTCAAGGTTCTAGAGGATGATGGAGGCTGGAAATGAAGCGCTAAATCCAAGATTAGAAGATTAAATACGGGGGAAACCCTAAAAGATATTTTGCTCGGATCGCAACTATTATCACGTCGTGACCATACTCATGTCACATCGTGACATCCTTTCGAATACGCGTTCTCATTTTTGGCACATCTCGTCGTGACCTCCCTATGGTCACGTCATGACATATGGTTTTACCCCAAAACCATGTCTTTGACTCCTTTATGTGCTACAATGATCCATTCTGGAAGACGGGTGTTACATATCTTATGATAAACTCGATCCTAATAAGATCCGAATCGTTTTTCAGAGATAGAAGCTTTACGATCAATATTCGGATCTTAACAACTTTGATTAGTATAAGTCTAAGGATTAAGAATTCAGATCTCTTAACTTTGATTTTCATATCTCTAAAAAAATTGGGACATTTACATTAATTTTCAAAGATTATATGGCCATTTTTGTTTAAAACGGTTAATACATAAACTTGTGATCTTTCTCTTAAATCTACATCTTGCTCATCATAGAACTTAAATCCTTTACCTTTTTGTGGCTGGTGAGGACCCCGGATGGAATTTGAACAAAAGGATTTATGAATCTAGGCCCATTTGAGTATGTGGACTCAATAATAACTAAAAGTTGAAAATAGTTACCGACATAATGTTACAAAAAGAACAAATCAGCTAGGCTAAAGACGGAAACTTTAGACTTTTACAAAACAATTTATTGTTCAACTTGTGTAAGTTTACTTCTCAGTTTTGTTTAGGTAAAATTGACTAATAAAATGAGTAGAATGTTACCATCGATGCAAGATGTACCGATGTAGTATTTATATGATGTGCATTAAACATATATAATAAATCATTGTTGACGTCAATTTTGTTTACATTTCTCATTCTTTTTCCATTCTAGATTATTAGCGCAAGTAGAAATATATTGTCAATTTGAGGTCATATTTAGGCCGAAAGAATCGTTGTCGCGCAGCTTGTGTTGTCTCCGTGCGCCGCCCCATGCTGCATCAGCTCACCAGTCAAACGGTGTGAGAGCGGTGGTGGTTGTGGGCCGCTTGGTTGTAGTGGGTATGGGTGAGCAAACATATCGGTTTGACCGGACCGAACCGAGATCGGTGGCGGACCATGATCGATTTGCGTATAGTGGTCCGATTTTTGGTTTTCGCTTTTAAATATTCATCAATTCCAGTTCCGGGTATAAACCAGTTTGGATCCATTGGTTCCGGATAAAATTCAACCCAAAAATGTAGTCTAACATCTATCACATTTAGATAAAATTCAATACTTGTTGATCTGGAAATTGAAGAATCAAAAGCAATGGAATAAAAAAAATGGATGCTAATTGAATTGAAGATCTTATCAAACTCAAGTAAGATCATGTTGATTTGTTGTGAAGAAGTTAGTTGTTATAAAGTAGGTTGGTATGGTTAGCTGAAATTTTATTGCATCTTTTTATTTGCTTTTAGTGTAGTGAAGATGAACTTGTTGGTGCTACACCTCAAGCTAATATTGATGACGATTCGAAAGAAGATGTGACAAAGCCTAGGAAAGGATGGAAAACGATGGCACATAAAGAGGCGTTTGTTGGAAATTGTTCGATATAATGAAGACAATAGAGAATGATGGTGTAAAAAGAAAGTACCATAGAAAATGATGGTGTAAAAAGAAAGTACGCAAAATGTAAGTTTTACAAAACTTTCCTAAAAGCCTATCTAAACCGAAATGATAATTCTAGTTTAACCAAACATGCAAATAGATGCAAAAAAAGAACCCTAACTAACATAGTAAAAAATCAAAACAATTTGAATCTTAAAAATACACAAAAATGGAGGCTAGTGTAACAACACGAAAACACGATGAGTCTAAGATTAAAAAAAAAGAGATTATTAAACCTTTTTTGGTAGGTGAACTACCATTTAAGTTTGTTGCGGGCAGGGCTTTTATCGTATACACCAACATGCTTAATAGTAGGGTTATCTTGCCATCTAGACATAAGATTTCCCCGATGTAGCCAAATTTTACATAGAAGAGAGAACAAAAATGTTTCAAAATTTGAGTAACTCAAATACCACAATACATTTGGCAACAGACAGTTTGGCATCCTCTTGTCAAATGGTGACTTACATGATCGTCACACCCATTTTATAGATGTAAATTAGGTGATCACAAAATAATAATAAACTTTAGGGAGATAAATAGTCATAAGAGGAAATTGGACATTGTTTTTGTTTTGTACACGTTTAGTTATTATTATTATTATTATTATTATTATTATTATTTGCAAAATACATCAGTATCGTTGGTTTTGTCAACATTATGTCCTTATGACCTGTTATTGTATGTTTCTTGTTGGTTTTGTTCACATTATGTCCTTATGACTCGTTATTGTAGGTTTCCGGTCAAAAAATGGATTTTTCCGACGACTTTCGCATCTCCGACGAGTCTCCGGTCATCTTCTCCGACGATATATGATTTTTTTTTCAGTCTTCTCCTCTATTCATCTTAACTGGTTCCGGGCCAGTTTGGACCGGTTGCTCACCCAAAGTCGTGGTCACAGTTAAGTTGAAGGCAGTGTTGCTCGCTGTTGGGTAAGGTCTTTGATGGGCCGGTGGCTTTCAGGCTGCCAATCAACTTCCTATTTACGGTCCATTTTTGCTAGGACTCCTTCTTTGTTCCGTATTATATATAGATATTAAAGATGGACAATGCTCAGGAACAGTAAAGTTCCTAAGGAGTTGACAAAATTGGTCCTCTGTTTATATTCAATTCGGTAAGCTGTTGGTTTTTTTTGACAATTATGGTCCACGTCTTTACCTGTTTGTATATGTTCACCTTTTTTTTATTGGCTTTTCATAATACATCCCTGGTCAATGGGAATTTACTGTATTTATTTATTAATTAATTGTTTTATAAATAGCTTTTTACGTGGCTTAAAATTAAAGCAGGATCGATTATCACCGTCCTTCTCTTCCAATCAGCTGCTAAGAGAAGCCACAGTCTGTCTTTCCTATTTTGGTATGGAATGTATTTTGGGTGTGCTGTTTGACGTTTTTTGTCACGTGTTTCCTTCTCTTTTTTACCGATATCTCTTCTATCTTCCACCGCCATCGATATCCTTCACCGCCTCTCTCTCCACCGCCTATGGTTTTAAGTTTAAACCGGGGTTAGATGGTCAACTTCTACTTTCTGCTTCCTTCTAAACTTCTTACGCTCCTCCAAAGTCCATACCACCGCCTTTACCAGATTCTCTGCTTCCGATTCCGATAGAGAAGAAATATTCCACTCATCCTTTTTCCTTACGTCGACTCTGCATCTTTCCCGTTCTTCTCCGTTGTTCATCCTTCCTGCGCAGGTAATATTTTTTTGTCGTGTTTGTCCTTTAGGGTTTCTTTCATGTTTTCTGAGTTGGTACGCATAAGGCTCATCGATTCCCCTCTGTTGTTGTGTGTTCACGAGAATAAAAAAAGAAGAGGGCGGCCGTCGATCCACCCGCAGACATGCCAGCGACGTTGATGGACAATTGATATCGGCAGGTCGGAGAAGAAGACGGCGACCCCGCCATCGTAGTCAAAGGATATCGACGACTTCTAATCGACACAAAACAAAACACCATTTTCTTTCTTTGTCTCTCTAATCTATCTTCGTTCCTGATAATCTCCACAAAACCCTCTTATGAGATATGAAAGTAAGTTTCATGATGTACACCAACTGTTCGATAAAATGTCTAAACCAGATTCTTGAATTTTTATTCCAATCTATTATTCAGAGCACCTTTAATCTTGTGTTCACTTAACTTTTTTAATCTTAATTTCGTGCTAACTTAGTGTTTAATGTTAGCTTTTTAACTTCATTTTGTGACGGAATAGTGGTAAAAGTATGATGATTGATTTTCCTGACTCTATTTCAGGATTGAAAAACGTTGATTCCTTGTGCATACGGCGATACAGACGCAAGTTTTACCAATTCTATTTTCTGGCCTGAATTATACTCTACATGCCCAGGTCCAATCTTTTTTTAATTTCTTTCACTATATTCTTCATTACGCCTAAATAAATCCTTTCCGTCATGTATTACACATTGACATAAAATTTGGTGTATTGCAGATAACAATGTCTGCAGTTAGAGCAGGATTGCTTCTGAGAGTAGTAAACTTTCAGACACTGTAAATTATTATCAGGTTTTTTTGTTTGTATTAACTTCAATGAAGTAAAAAACATTTTTTTGCAATAATCTTTTTTTTTTGAGTAATGGACTTTTTGTTTATGCTCAAAGTTTCAAAAAAAATTGATGCTAATTTGGATTATTATTATTATTATTATTAGTGAAAGTAGAAATTTATTTAACTTTATTGGACCAGGAAGCCATGGATGCCCTTCAAATTTCTCTTGAAGATCAACAACATGTCTTTAAAATGGTTGCTGCAATTTTTATGGTTAGGGAACATATCCTTTGAAGTAGTTGATCATGCAGAATGAAGGGGTAGATTGGTCTATTTAAGATTTTGATAGGTAACCTGCCTGTAGGTATAACAGGTAGACTTTATTCTATTTTTAGATTATATACTTTGTGCTTTTACAAGGAGAATTAATGATGACATTTCGGATAAAAAATACCAACACAGATAAAAAGCAAATTAATTTTACATTTGCTTATCACAACTATTTCCGTATGCACAAGGAATCAGTATTCCGTCACAACGACTCCTACTGATTACGTGAGTTTCTTACCAGTTTTAATTAGGTATATTAGATTAGATTATTTCTCCAAGTTTGTTTGTTCATAGGTGAGCTCTCTAACAGGCGCTAAATCAATAATACGTGAAGTTGCATCTGTTCCATGAAGGTGATTCAAATATCCAATAAATTTTATATCTACTTCCTGAGTTTTGCCTGTATATACATTGTTGTGCTATTGTTTCTTATACATTAAGCAAATTTATCCATTTTATATTTTGTTCTCAATTTTTGCACTAAATTAGGTTTTGGGTTGAACTGAATGGCCTTTGGTTGTGCAGATGACCGATGATGCCAAATTGAAACCCATAAATCTCACCGACGATATCGTTCCACGTGTCATGCCATATCTTTAGAACTCTGCTAAGACTTATGGTATGTAATGTATACACATGAGCAGTGATAGTAGATCTTATTTGTTGAGTTTTTCAAAGAAAATCTTTTAGAAAAGTTTTTAACTGAAAATTATGTTATTTTTTTTTTTGGTCAAAAAATCCATTCATGTTTATAGAAGTTTTAAAACCGTTCAGATTTTATAATTAGTTTTCAGAATAGTAAATCTTGACCAATGAAATCTGTTAGCATGTCTTTCCAAATTTTATATGCTGATCACATCTATGTGTCACATACATGATGCTATTTCAAAGACCAAAGTACAATCAGCATAACTATAGATTTTATGTGGTACCTCTGCATTTAAATTTTCCATATGAGTTTAGAATACACATACTATATGCAAACTACAAAGCATCATATAGGCATAGTTAAATGGTTGTTCGTTTGACCTGAAACTCAAACAGTAAGATCCCGAATATAAAGGCTACGATCTATATTAGTTTTGTTCAAGAAGGTGTAATCTGATCTTTTAAACAATCTATATCAAGTCCTTTGGATATTTGTAGGAAAGAATTTCTATACATGGATGGGCCCATGACCTTTTGTGCACGTAACAGAACCTGCACTAATACGACAGATTTTGGCAAATTATTCTCAATTTCAAAAACTAGATGGAGGAAATTCGTTGGCAAAGTTGCTACCAAGTGGGCTAGCAGATGTTGAAGCTGATCAAAGGGCAAAACATAGAAAGATTATAAATCCTGCATTCCATGTGGAAAAGCTTAAGGTTCATCTTCTTTATGGATTACCAGAGCAAAAGTGTCAATATGTAACTAAAATTAATAAACCACTGATTCCATTAATGCTCCTTTTTGTAGCATATGGTACCAGCCTTTTAGATTAGTTGCAGTGATATGATCAACAAATGGGAAGTATTAACAAAAGAAAGATCATGTGCAGTGGATGTACAACATTTGGTAGTAGCTATGAAGAAGGAAGAAAGATATTTGAACTTCAAAAAGAACAAACATAGTTAGTTATGAAGGCTTTACAATCGTTGTATATTCCAGGATCCCGGTAAGTGTACTAATTTCCATTAATAATTTTGGTTTTTAGCCTCTTAATCATTCCAAAAAAAAATCATGCAAAACTGTTTGCTCAAGGAAGAGGAGGAGCAAAAACGCCATTTTTGTTTCCGTGATGATGATTCCGTGGGGTGTCAGCCAGGATCACATGTGGCGATATTGTGTCCCTCGAGGTTAACTGCATCTGTTTATCTCAGGGCATGGAATGTTTCATTCACGCGCCAAGGAGGGAGCCTCTGGTAAGTTTATGTGACTTTATACTAGATTTAATTTTAATTTTTTGTTGGAGAATACCAACATGCTTTACTATTGCTACCAAATGGGCAATATATTTTACTTTTTATCAATAAAATAAAAATGTTTTCACATACATGAATAAAGTCTTTTTCTTTTTCAAAATTTCCAAAGTTGAGTGGATGACCATTTTACCCTTATGTCTAAGAATTTAACGCTCCAACATTACAACAATTTGCAATGACACTATGAGTTAATCTCTCATCAGTTGTACATTTGAGAGATATTGAAATATTTTTCAGCAAATACATTCAGATAAAAGAAATAAGATTGATTTTTATTTGTAGAGTTCTTATATAAGGAATTATTAATTGTATTTAGGTAATTTTACTCTAAAACTTTGTAGTTATAAATTTGGTTATTTAAAATTGGTTAACTGATAGCTTAAACTTTCTTAATTTCAGCTGAGAAATTAGACTGCATCTTTTTTAAGGACATTAATGGTATATTAAGAAAATTAATTAATTTTTTTACAGTTTTAGGACCATATTACTCATGCACACTGTTATTACATTAATAAAATTCAATTCTTCATAAAATCCAACTACAGTTTTAGGGTCCTGTGGCTATACGGATGGCTAAAGAGTGATTAGCCATGGTTCAGAAATGGAGATCAGGTCTGGTTTGGAATTGGAAGAAGAATGCTATGAAGAGATATTGGTCACGGATGATAGGTTAGAAGGGTTGAATGCGTTTTCTGAGAAGCGAAAACCATTGTACAAAGGCGGATGAAATAAAACGTATTTTGATTTATTGATATTGGCAACGTACTTTACTTTTTTTTTTTCTTTGATAACGCGTACAAGTTTTTTGACAGGTACTATGGGCAGATCGTTGTCTTACTTTAACATGGAGTTGCAGAGAGAGAACTTGGTCATTTCAATAACTAAGAGGGGAAGTGATGATGGCAGGAAGGGAAATAGGGGTGAATTGGTCATTTGAGGATAGGAAGGGTTTTCTGTAACTAGGATGGGAGGTGATGATGGCAGAAAGGGAAATAGAGGTTAATTGGTCGTTTCAGGATCACCGATTGTATTATTGTTTTTGCTAACTTAGGATTAGACTTTTAATTCTTATACAATTGATTAAAATTCAATTTTTTTTTAACTATATTTGTTACCCATAATAGCAACATACTTCCATTTCGATACCAGTATCAGCAATGGTCATCAAATCACCAACAATATACTAAGGATCCTGTCGGTTTTTTTGACATTAGTGGCGAATCCAACCCCCGCGAAGCGGGGTTTCCTATATAGTTTTATATTTACAATAAATAAAAAACTCATAAGAAAAATTACAAACCATAATCTATTACAAACACTGTGGAAAAGAACTCTCACCCAAACGATAACAATTTGAATAAAAAACAGCCAAGAACTTTTAATATTCATATACAATTGTATTGGAAAAAATTTAATATTCATATGCAATTCTATTGGATAAAATCAACGCATTCAATTATATTGAACAAAATTAATAGTGATTATAAGTATATGCACGTAATTTTACAAACAATAAGATTTAACTAAAATAGAATGCATCAAAACATTAAAAATTAAAATATAACTTTAACAATTAAAGTATTTTGATAGTTAGTTTAAAAGGATGCAAAATACATGAAAAATACTAACGGTTTAAATTTAACATGCAACAGAAAATTAATATGTTGTAGAAAATCAAATTTAAAATTTTATTTAACCTCAAAACATATTCTAATAGACAAGAACAATCAACTAATCAGTCATAGAAAGTTTTTGGATTATATATTTGATACATAGGATCCTTTAATGTGGAGATAACAATCATACGATTGATTGCCACTATGTGTGGATCCATACGAAAAGATTTGTATAGTTGCTAGACATCAACTTATCAAATTTGTTCTTTCTCTTTCCTTTGGTTTAAGTTTCTGACCTCTAAGGTGGGGAAGGAGAGACAAATGTTAAAGTTGGGAAGGGAAGGATTAAGGTTTTAATGTATGTTTTTGTTTTTTGTTGGGAAATTCAACAAAACAAGTTAAACACTTCTGATTAATGATAAATGAATTTCAGTAAGACTTTATGATATAAAACATCTGAAAAATGAAATCAAAATTAAACACAATATTTAACATGTTCGATAAAAGTTACCTACATCCACAGGCGAATGAGAGAGAAAGAGGATTTTATTAAATTTTCGGGAACTATTACAATCTGTCAATGTTGCACCTCCTTTGAGCTCTCAAAACAAAAGAATCACTCGTGCTTACAAACTACTCTAAAAGGTGTGCTCTCACAATACTTGTTCTCTAAAAGTGCTCACAAAACTAGCATAAAATAATGATGGAGATGTATGCCTACTTATAGGAAAGCATGAGAAACCCTAAATCGGATGAACCAGACCTATCCATAATTAGCCAATGAAATGATGCCCTAAATCTCAGCCAATCACAAAATGCCATGTAACAGCTTCCTCCTTCCTGACAAAGTTTTCTCTCACCAACAAAGTTTTCTACCACCAAACGTAGTTTTCTCTCACCAATAGTGTTTTCTACCACTAAACATAGATTTCTCTCACTAGCAGAGCTTTCTGTCGACAAACAGAGTTTTCTCTCACCAGCAGTGCTTTCTACCACCCACATAGCTTTCTTTCACAAACAGAGCTTTTTGTCACCGATATAGCTTTCTCTCAACAACAGAGCTTTCTGCCACCAAATACAGCTTTGTCTCACCAACAAAGCTTTCTATCAAAACTTCACACCCCCAACATATTTTCCAAAATTATAATCATTGCAACTTAAGTACTTACATTTTTGGGTAAGCTTTCAAAAAAAACTTTCAAATGAGTGAGGCAAGTAAAACCAACCCATCTAAATAACTATTATAATATAGAACTTTGATTTATTAAATAAAATATTTTATTTAGTTTATTTGGTTTACTAAAAAAAATAAATAAATAATTATTCACTTATTTATTTTTGGTGGTAAATTATAATTTATCAAATAAATGAATTATTTATTTTTAAATATTTTTATAGCTCTTAGTATGACTCCATAGTCTGATGTATAATTAATAGTATATTAAGTTGTATGTACCTTGCACACTATATCCAATAGACTATATTTGTACGAGGAACAATACAACCAACTGTATAAACAGTACTAAATGTTTAGCAACATGTCACTCTCCCTAAGAATATATGCTTGTTTCTCTCCATATAACTTTTTATTTAACATTTAATGGTGAATGTGTTGTCACTTTAATCACCATTTGTTCTGATGTCATTTGAATATAAGATATAAATTTAATTATTCTCATATGTGTTCGACATTTTTGTTTCTTGCCTTACAATGATGGCGAGAGGCGTCAATGATTTTTGATGTACATGCGGTCGATACTTACCATTGCCAAACCCAAGAGAGTTTGCTTGTAAAATGAAATCAGTGTGTGACTTTGTGATATACAAAGAGAATAATAGCAGAGAATGGGCATGAGAGCGGTGGGAAGATGTAAGGCGGATTCTTCCTGACTCCATTATACAAACTCTCTTTGCTTCTTTTTCACTTTTAATTTAAGGCCTTACATTTGACTATTTCCTTAACCGGGAATAAACATTACTACAAAACTCAATACATTATGGCCATTTAGGCCTAGATCGATATTCCTTTATGTTTTTGTGTCCTGGGCATTCGACCTAACTGAAATTAAGAGATACATGACGCCTGACAGAGCCAACAAAGAAACAGAGGGACATTGATAGATAGAATAAGACGAGATAGTTGAGGTGAGTTTAAATTTGCAAGGGAGGAATATCCAAGATGGTGGGGTGGGTTGTAGTGGAACCCATGAAAAAAATTAGACAAAATGTATTTTAGTAACTTTGAATGAACAAAAGTCATAACAACTGAATTGCCTTCTAGGAACATAATAGTTTTTTTTTTTAATCACTCCTTTATGTAAAGGCCATGATTCATATCTAGAATGCACTCTTTTAAGTTATTTTAGTAGGGTCAGAATTATTTGGTTTGGAATCGAAAAACCCGAAAATCAAATCAAATCGAAACCGAGTTCAGACCAAACCATATTCAAATTCGATTTTTGGTTTAGTCCGAGACCAAACTGAATTTTGAATTTGGTGTTTGGTTTGAGTCTGGTCTAATGAATTTTAGACTAAACCGAACCGAAAAACTGAATTGCATTAACTAATTAATTAAAATATATATTTTATATTTTATATTTAGATAAAAATGTTAAATAATCAAATATTAAATAAAAGACATTTTAGCAATTTGGTTTCTTCGGTTTCTAAACCAAACAAAACCAAATTAATTCGGTTTTTGGTTTGGTTTAAAGGTATTTGAATTTGATTTGGTTCGGTTTTCGATTTAGACCAAATATATTTATACCGAGTAAACCGATTCGAAGACATAAGAACTCATAAACCAAACCGATTCATACCCATACATCTTAGTTCTTGATGGAGGATGTACACATAAAATATATGTCCAAGTCGAGTACAAATGTACAGTTTTAGCCTTGATCAAGAGGATTTAAGGAAACTAAAATTTTAAATTAAAATATGAAGACGGCAAACGTAGGTAGTCGTGTCACTAACTCCGGCCGTCACCATCACAATCACAATCCCTTCCGTTGACATTTTTGATAATTTCTATGAGAATATAGATTGTATAATGCAGGCCAAGGTACAAATTCCCTATTAACAAAACACGATACAAACATGCGTCACTAATTGGTGCGGGAAACGTTACTAGCAAATGAGTAAATTACAGTTTTGGTACCTGTGGTTATGTTAAATTCGTACTTGTAGTCAAACTTTTGAAAATTTAAAAAATTGCATCCTTGTCGTTTTAAAAAAATACACTGTATATCCTTGATTTATTTAAAAATATCATTTTATCCTTTCTTTTGTTTTGTTTTTCTATTACACTTTTTTAATATATATATATATATATATATATATATATATATATAGAGAGAGAGAGAGAGAGAGATAGAGAGAGAGAGAATGGTTATATGGAAAATGAATTATTAGGGCAACACATATTTGAACTGAAAACATGACAACACATCACTTTAGGGTAACTACATAAATAACTTCCACAATACATTATTTGTGAATAAAGAAATAGACACGTGTCATTTGATTATTGGTTCCAGCTATGTTGCCCTAGTTATTCGTTTTCCATAGAACTCATATATATATATATAGATATATATAGATATATATATAGATATATATATATATATATATATATATATATATATATATATATAAATATATGTGTACCTAAACTTAGGTATAGAACCTCTTAAATGACATAGTTTTAAACAAAACATATCAAATTTTAATTTCTCTTAATTTTGTTTTAGTATAATATCTTTGAATTGAGTTAAATTATGAAACAAAAAGATCGATTATATATCTTTTTATTGCAAAAAAATCATTAAAGTTTATAGGGAAAGTAAAAAATAAATATATTTTTAACGAATATAATTCAAATGTTTTGTCCTTCAACTGAAAAACAATATCCAATGATTTGTAAAACCTTGATTGAGTTATTGCATGTTCTTCTTTTATCTTTTATTCTATTAGTTTTTATTTAAATTGTAGTAAGGTTGATTAAATGGTCACGACTTTTAATGTTTTAAGTTCTTAGACAAAATGAAGAAAAAAAACATATATTTGATAGGTTTAGCAAGTCACATGATTAAAGAAGAATAGTAAGCGAGATATCATGATTAGTTTGGAAATAATTGATCAAAACTACATAGTTTGGAGGGTTCTATATATAAGCTTAGGTACATAACAGTCACATATTCCCCAAGCCATATATATATATATATATATATATATATATATATATATATATATATATATATATATATTATATATATATATAATATATATATATATAGCCGGTCCAAACACATATTGGGCCAAGGCGAAAGTAAGAAAAAGGACCCCCAAAACCCGAAAATCGAATATATTAATGATTCAAAAGGCATACCATTTTACAAAAATCCATTACGAATATCATCAAAAACACAAATATAGCCACAATATCCTTTTGTATACATAATACAACCATTGAATTTTTCTTGTAACACTAATGACCTTCGATCATTCTTC